CCCCCCCCCACCGCCGGCCAGCGGCCAGCGGCCAACGCCACGCCCGGACATGGCGCTTTGGCGCTTATCAAAATGTCACGGCCACTTTAATGGCGCCAGCAGCAGCAGCCCGCCGGCCGCGGTGCGCCGGTGACTCGAAGCCATGCAGGTTTGCATTCAGCACAGAGCGATGAGGAAGACTGGCCATTGGCCGGTGGTTGGGTGGTCGTGTTGCCCACTTACGCGACCGCGAGGCAGTAGGCAGCAGCACTGACACAAGGCCCCCTTTGACGCCAACCACATTAAAACCCATGTACCGGGTGATTCAGAGCACGCGCCGCCGTGTTGCGGGTTTGCCTATCCTCGACTCGGCGGGCGCACGGTCGCCTCGCAACCCGCAACACGGCGGCGCGTGCTCTGAATCACCCGGTACGCCACGGTTCGCGGTATACCTCGACTTTTAAAACCGTAGGTGCCAATTTTGGGGCTTGCTTCCCCGCATTCGTAAATATTTTGAGAATCGTTCGCTACCATCACGCGAGGGGTCGAGCCTACACTGTAACTTCAAAGGCGTCCCGGGAGAGTGCGCGAAGGTGTAGGCTACAGAAACCAGTGCGACTTAAGTCGCAGTCTAGGCATACACCTTTGTCGCACTGCCTTTGTATGCATAATATGCCGGACAGCTCCGAAGACCCTGAGCGAGTGCTTGGCCTGCATACACCTTGGGAGCGCACTTCATGGGCCTGGAGCCCACGGCTCACAGCTCCCTCAAACCTTGCTCAAACCGTGTACTATTTTACCCAGCACAAGGTGTATGGAGGCCAAACACCTGCCCAGGGGGCTCGGCAGGGGCTTAGAGGCTGTCCGGCATATTATGCATACAAAGGTGTATGGTGGCAGTGCGACAAAGGTGTATGCCCAGACTGCGACTTAAGTCGCACTGGTTTCAGCCTACACCTTTGTCGTACTCTCCCGGGACACCTCTGAAATTACAGTGTAGACGAATGAGTGGGTCGGTTCAGTTAGTTCCGCGTGGGGCGTGGGGGGGCTAGGGGCCGGCAGAAGCGCGCTCCTCACGGCGACGCGCTGCTATGGTGATGGGAATGTCGTTATGCCGGGCCAATCAGTGATGAGCGCCCCTCACCCCCTCCCCTTCCTCCCCTTTTCGTCGTTTCACGTTGTTCGGGTGTAAGTAACTCAATCGGGTCGCCTCTTCGCTGAGGCGGGACGGGGCGCGACGGCGGCGCGTGGTGTGGTGAGACGAC